AAAATTAAAAAATCTGAGAGAGGTCCACATGTAGTACTATATACATGTATGTAATATCAAAGCAATTGGACTTGCGGTTTTTAACAAGAAGTTGAAAATATCACTTTTTACCAAAAATGGCAAAAATATTCAACAAAATTAGAGAATTGAAGATATCATCATGAAATGAACAAATCTGAGAAAGGTCCACACGTAGTATTTATATATGTAATATCAAAGCAACTAAACTTGCGGTTTTTAACAAGAACTCGAAAATATCACTTTTTACCAAAAATTACAAAAATATTCATCAAAAATAGAGAATTGAAGATTTGACATGAAATGAACAAATCTGCGAAAAAACCATCCAAGGTACTTGCATATCAAATTTGAAAACATTCTGATTTGCAGTTTCGAAATAGAAGTTGAAATTGTAAAGTTGACAATGACGGACAATGACAGGCGACGGCGACGACAGACAATCAGTAACATGAACAGCTCCACTGTGTCAACTTTGTCGACAGCAGAGCTAATAAATTTATAAAGCAATCAGGTTTCAGGTTTTCAACAAGAAGTTGAAAATAACATTTTTACGAAAAATGACACAAAAATTCACTAAAATTAGAGATTTGAAGATATCGTCATGATATTACCAAATCTGAGAGAGGTCCACCCAAGGTACCTACAAATAAAGTTACAAAGCAATTGGATTAGCAGTTTTTAAGAAGAAGTTAAAAATAACATTTTTGACCAAAAATTACAAAAATATTCATCAAAATTAGAGAATTGAAGATATTGTCACAAAATCAACAAATCTGACAGAGGTCCACCTGATATAACTACATATACAATATCAAAGAAATTGGACAAGCAGTTTTCAAGGAGAAGTCGAAAATATAATTTTTTTTACCAAAAATGTTCATCAAAATTAGAGAATTGAAGATGTCGTCACAAAATCAACAAATTTGACAGAGGTCCAAGTGATGTACCTACTTATACAATACCAAAGCAATCAGACTAGCAGTTTTCAAGGAGAAGTCGAAAATATAATTTTTTAACAAAAATATTCATCAAAATTAGAGAAATGAAGATATTATCACGAATTGAACAAATCTGAGAGAGGTCCACCCAAGGTACCCACATACCAAGTATCAAATCATTTGGGTTACCAGTTTTCAAGAAGTCGAAAATAGCATTTTTGACCAAAAATGACAAAAATATTCGCTATAAATAAGACAATTGTACATATCCACACGAAATGAACAAATCTGAGAGAGAACCACCCAAGGTACCTTCCTAGAAAGTTTCACAGCTAATACAGTTTGTGGTTTTTAAGAAGAAGTCGAAAATGTAAAGTTGACGACGGCGATGGATGCCAACGGACAATCAGTAATACTATAAGCTCTGCTCAACTTCGTCGACAGCGGAGCTAATAAAGCTGTTTAGTACATGGTTGCCATTTTGGAATTTTGGATTTGTTGTCTACTGGTCAATTCTTTTAAATACACAGCAATTATTTACAATACAATTTGAATGTGTACTACCACTACTAATAACAAGAGATGCCCAACTTAATTTTAGCTGTGACAAAAATTAGAGATTAGATTTTTTAAATAATTTATTTGTGCATTATTTATTTGTGTATTACAAGTACATTCATAGTTATTTTCAAAATAATGTCTTCTTAATGAAAAAATTCTTTATTGTTGCAAACAACCTATGCAACCAATGTTTTATTACATGGGACAATAAAGTTTGTTATCTATGCAATGTCTACATGTACCCAAGTACTTCCAAAATGCCTAAAAATGCAAATTTGTAGTGAAACTTTCTTTACAGTTTCCAGGTCCCGTCTTCATTTTGTTTTTCAATAAATACTATGTAGCCATCACGTAGATTGGATGCCTCTAGTGTTAGTTGTCTGTCTGTCAAACATCGATATTTACCGCCACTGTATTTACAACATATCCGGGTGATTTTGTCATCGTTAATGTCAAACATGCTTCGCATTTCATTTTCAATGGATTCAACTGTGTCTGCCTTACTGTAATTTTTAACCACATATTCATCTGCATCAATTGTCTCACACAGTTTTAATTTCAAGAGATTGACTTCAACTTCCAAGTGCTTTGCATAATATCCTTGCTCAATGACGTTCCTGACAATAGGTCTTTGATCTTTTACCACACCATACCATTCGACCAGCTTCTCCCAGGCCTGAATTGGAAGTAATGCATAGTCTAACCCATCAAACAGGTGTGTTCCATCAACAGTTTTCTTAAACAGATCTGAGTTATCAATGGGTCCGGGATACAAAGACTGATGTCCCATTTGGTATTTATTCCAGCATTCATACCCAACATAGCTCTTCCACTGCTTTAACCATGTTGCATCAACTAAATACCAAACATCACCTTTCCGAAATTTAATTTTCAAAAGTTCCGCTATTACAGTTCTCTGATTTTCTAAATCAGGTAAAGTGTTCAATGTCTTCATGTCGTTAACGTCCTCATTCCCCACCAATACGTCTCTTTGGTCTATTTCATCTCTGCTATCATCAGGAAAGTCAATTCTAGATATCTGTACTGTAGTCGATTTGAATGTTCCAATGGAAACATCATGTTCAGTGAGAGTTGATTCAAATGTGTCACTGCAGTTAAATTCTGATAACTCTAATTTGTCAACTACAGTAAGCTCTGATAGGAACAAAACCTCATCAACTCTCTTCAGTAATCCATCCTTTGTCAATATCAGTTTACATGGATCTCCGTCCTGTATTACATGATCCAGGGAAGCCATCGTTGTCAAGACATTTTCTTTTATTGATGTTATATCATCAATACGACTTTCTAACATTTTTCGGTTTGAGTCTCTCTCCTCTTTTAGATGATTGATTTTCATCGTTGACTCGTTGTTTAACTGATTCTCAATCTCCTTTATTTTCTCTCGTATTCTCTGTAACATGTTCTTGGTATGTGCCTTTATTTTCATCTCTTCGTCGCTAAGAGTGGACGTCATGACAGTCATTGCATATCGAACTTGTCTTGTATGGGCATCCAGGAGTTTCATTTTAGTGTTAAGTTGTTTTTTGAGAACTTCTAAATCGGCAACTATTTCATCCTTGGCTTCTTGCAAGTAAATATAAGTATGGCCTTTATGAAGAGCCACTGCACACTCAGCACAGATGGGAATTTTACAAATTTTACAGTACAGTTTCAGACGACAGCCTTCATGGGCATCACACAGATGTATCTGGTTATCAAAACATGGGTCTTTCAGAACAGCTATCCGGTACTGGGCAAATGTTATCAGTCTGTGGTTTTGCGTTGATTTGACTTTGGTATGAGTTTTTCCACAGGTAGTACAAAGATTCATGGCACATTCGATACAACGCCATGCTGTAATAGACTCCTCGCATCCATCACATAAAACTGTCTGCACGTCACCTTTCTCGCGAGACATTACTTCTGACAAGGCATTCACGTGAATGCTTTTTGGCAAAGATGAGATATTACCAGACATTTTGAATTCCGCTCGGCAGGTTGGACAGTTCGCTTTCCGTCTCGTCTTCACCAACGCCACTAAACACTGTTCACAGAAATGATGTTGACATGGCAACATTCTGGCGTCTTTAAATCTCTCAAAACATATTTGACATGTCAAATGCTCGTCGTCAATTTGTTTGAGCAGTTTTTCCGCTGCCGCCGCCATAGTTGTAACTTACTTCCTGGATTGATCAGTACGCATGCGCATGTTATGTTGACCTTTTACATGGTGAATCTTAGTGGCACAGTCTTGGCGACTTTTTTCAGAAAGTTTAAATTAAATAACAAACATCGCGAAATGAAGGTGTTTAACGTGAAATTTCTTGTAACCCTATAACCCCGACTTGTTTCTTTATAGTACAGGGAATACAATTAAGGGATACATTGTCAAACGGGTACTAGTAATTCAAAAACATTAAAAGGGGTCGTTAGTAACGTCAGTATCTCCGACAGAGATATGATATTCAAATGAAAAAAAGATAAAAAAAACATTTGTTTATTATATTATTTAATGAAATAAAAACGTTCGTAACAAACTGCAACCTAGATGATAATAACTCCTCCACAGATTACTTTATGACATCAAATGATTCCAAAACACAATAGCCTCAAATCATGAATACATCTAGCAAAGATTATTTACAAATGTTTCAAAAAATGGAAAAGAAAGAATTACAAAGATGTTTGAATATACAAAAATATCAGTATCTTTATTAGGTTTTAGTAATTATTTTGCATCATTTCCTCACTATCCCCCTCCAGTTCATTGATTTTTAGCGACAAAATCTTCCACAAAAAGCACATTAATTTATGGAATTATATAAAAATAATAACAATATGCTTTGCAAATATGTCTGATAGCGTCATTCTCCAAGCTTGAATAATTACTGACGTTGGTGGCGTGGTTGAGGGTCAAAAATCATGTGATTGCATATGCTCAGCACAGTCCAGCCATTGGTAAATAACGTTCGACATCATGTACTGCTATATATATGCTATATATACTGTACTGAGGTATATTTTACACCGAAAATCTAATTTGTTAACATCACCAGAAATATATACTGATAATATCACACTAAATACTCAAATATATGGAAGAGGGTCGGCAAGGGGTATTTTCGTAAGCTGTTTTTGAAATGATGTAATTTAAATAAATAAAAAAAACGTAAATTCGTAGACATGAGCAAGGTGTGAAATGTAATCAGTAATCAGTTATTTTATTCGTCCGTAATTTGTATAAAGATCTTATTTTGTAAGCGTATAAAGCATTTTCCGCAATAAATGTTGCAATTTTGATTCTTGAACACAAATTATCAAATGTATTATAAAAATGTAAAATATAATTAGGAATTTGCTTTATCTGTAAAAAGTGTAAAAACCTATTTTTTTTTACTGTAAGTGGAACTTTCATTTTATTTCCTGTAATAACGTAAAATGCCATTTTATTTCCCGTAACCTGTACCAGATACCCCCCATTGTACTGTTTTGCGCAATCTAGAAGAGAGATCTTTTTCATTGAGCTGTTATTACACGATACTGTTAGTAATCGGTGAAAGAACTGTATTACATTGATAGTCATTGTTCCCAATATACATAGTTAAGAATTACACGTGACGGTGGTTTAAATTTGTCTTCGAGTTGTTACTAAATATATTTTCGCCAAAAATTGTACAACACTGACAGGTATCTGAATGAATGAATGAATGAATGAATGAATGAATGAATGAATGAATGAATGAATGAATGAATGAATGAATGAATGAATCAATCAATCAATCAATGAATCGATCAATCGATCAATCAATCAATATATATAACTAAAAAAAACATTATGTCTAGCAGGGTTCTGCCCAGCCTGATTTGAGTGGCGGTCGCTAATTAATATTTTAGCATCAATCGAAATAGTAGTAAATGAATTGTAATTGTTGAATTTCAGTGATATAATTTCAGAGATTATTCATGACGTGAATTTAAAATAATGTGTCTTCCCGATATGATGGTATGAGTTTTAGGAACTTCATATGACAACGCACGGATTCGATCAAGTGTTATGCTCTATACACTGTTAATAACACGACACGTGCCTGCCACGTGGGCCACGTGGGACAAATATTGAACACTGCTTGGTAAGACCATTGAATGTGGTTTGTAACAAAAATATTGTCGATAATTGTTCGTTGTCTTATTTATGAGATTCAGCAACTCGGTCAATTGAGTTTTGTTAATGTAGGTACTCGTGGTTTAATAAATGAAATGATTGATTTAAAGTTGATTTAATCTTGTTCCGATACATCTTCGCCAGCCAAGGACCATTTATTCGGTTATGAATGGCCGGCTTTAGCGAAACCGTGCGATTCGGACGATAGTTCCGACAGTGTCGCATCTTTTAACATTTTAATACGAGAAAGGATTTAAATCGGGGAGGCATTGTACATTTGTTTTGTCTTTATTTTTATATTTATTTATTTGTGAATAAAACCTGTCATTAAAACCAAACAAATTCTATAATAATAATCTGCCAAGTGTCCCAATTGCAGTACTGACATACGCCCCTTACTCCAGGAAATCCGGAAATCTCGGCCACTCAAAATAGTGCGCCCTCACACGTCAAGACAAATTATCATTATTTTTAAAAATGGCTGAAGCTGGAGACAGTGTCTTGAGCGCTACGAGCGGGTTCGATAGTCCAGACGAATCCTACGATGATATTATGCATTATTTCGTCCACGAAGGGGTCCGTCTACCACCATTTTGTCGTGGCAAGATGGAAGATATCTTGAATTTTCCAGTAAGAAAGGACGATCTTTGGATTGTCACATACCCGAAATCAGGTATTTATCAAGATTGTTCATGTCAACTTCATTCATACATCCGTCCAATTATTTTCCCCTTTGCCGAAATCACCGCCTGTTGTATCGACTGATGTACTTTCGCGGTAAATGGGAGCTGTTAACTAGTGTTTGACAGTGACAGTCGTCAAAAGGCATCATGAAATGAGGTTATGTTTGACATGAACAAATTCAAGTTCACTAACATTTCATTCATTTGAATTATTTATTGACATTTTGCATTCTCATTAACCAAACTGATAGTTTTGAATAGTAGGAAAACATTTATTTCACTAAATACTGTAGAATACTTTATTTTCGCTTGGAATTTATTCTCGCTATTTTCGCTGAAGGGATGATTCCGTGAAAATAAAATCCGGTGAATATACATTTTTTCCTATATTTTACATTAATCTCATCAAAAATCAGTGAAAATAAATTCCAAGCAAAACGCCCAAAAAACCTTTTCAGCGAAAATAAATTCCAGCGAAAATAAAGTATTCCACAGTACACTAGTATAAAAATATGCGGATATAAGTTGAACAAAGCCAGGAAACCATTGTATCCTGTCCAAGTTCCTGTCCTTGAGAATTAAGAGTGTTTTACTTTTGATTTTATCAGTGTTTGAAATTACTGCATGCCCAAAACTTTTTACTCAGGCTGGTAAATTTAACATTTATATGCCAGATGGACTGGTCCATATCTGTTCATGGTCTGCTCAGTATACAGCAAATCTCAGAAGTATTGGGGAAGCCAATTTGCAAAATTGCTAGCGAATTGGCTAAGTGAGTTTTTACTGAACAGTTGGCTTTTGAATCTTGCTGGTGTTGACTTGTGGTCACGTCCACTCTGGATGAGTCTATATTGCAGTAAGAGTCATGGAATGCTTTTACGTAGCCTGGTACATGTCTGTAATTCCTCATTTCAAAGGTGATTTGCTGTTTTTCACAAGACATGATAATGTAAAGTAATTCACAATTACCAAATTGACCAGGTACGAGTAATTTATAGAAAAAAACAAATTTACAAACCCCATTCATATCAAATAATGGGCGCTCTGTCATAATTGCGCCTTGAAACTAAGAAACAAGTTTTTCAGTTTCCTACAAATCAGGGAGAAAATAACAAACTTTCATAGCCAAAGGATTCTGCTAATAAAACTTGATTGCATTTGTCTTTTTTGCTTGGAAAATTTCTTGCAAAATAATACCTAATTACATGAGAAACAGAACATTTCCTTGGTACATGTATATTTGAAACCCAAGTGGTCAACCAATAGTAAGGCCCCTGATGACCATCCCCTACTGTGATATAGATTTTCCCAGAGTGGGCGTGGCCACAAGACTGCGCCAGAGATATTTGAAAGCCAAAAGTTCAGTCAAAACCCAAGCAGTTAGCCAATTCGCTAGCGAATTTGCAAATTCGATGCCCCAATATTTCTGAGACTTGCTATAATTACAATTTTTTATTCAATGGGGTTGAACGCCATTCTTTGAGGATTGTGAAATAGAAAACACGCCAATTTGACACTAAAATTATTTGAACCGTTGTGGTCATCGTGTATTTCTGTTGAATAAAGTGACGTGATATGATAACTTGGAATAGGAATGCAAGTACCGGTATTTGAACATAATCTTTAACCCAATTCCGATCTGGAATAAGGGTTAATGCAAGCTAGTAACTTTCTGGCAGAGCTCCTGAAATTTGAGGTTATCTGCACTGGTGTCAGAAACACAGTTTTTGAAAAATGTCAAGTAAACTATCTCTATCTAAAGGTTTTACTCAATAATTGTATAATGGGAAGAGGTCTGAGTGGTATAAATGATTTTAAAATTGAGTGAGCCAATGCCAATCTAATGCAAAGACAATATAAAAATGTCAAGACAATGCCAACCTAATGCAAGGACAATATAAAAATGTCAAGACAATGCCAACCTAATGCAAGGACAATATAAAAATGTCAAGGCAATACCAACCTAATGAACCTAATGCAAAGACAATATAAAAATGTTGAGACAATGCTAACCTAATGCAAAGACAATATCAAAATGTTAAGACAATGCCAACCTAATGCAAAGACAATATCAAAATGTCAAGACAATGCCAACCTAATGCAAAGACATCATC